ACGCTGAGGATTTTCATGGCATACCACCTGTTCTAAGGCTCTCAGGACACTTCACAAGCATTGATGCAAGAACACAGCACAGAGAGCAAACTCAGTGAGAACCTGACCGAGGTCACTCACATAGGCAGGTAAGAGGCAGCGCTGCTGGCTGCAGGGGCCTCTGCTCTTGGTTATCTGTCTTAGACGGACAGCCCAGAGAGTTTATATCTAAAAAGCTGTTGGTTCCTGAGACCCAAGGGAAATATAGTAAAATGGTGACTGGCCTGGCCTGAGTCCAGTTCCTTACTCTTGATCACAGGGGAAAATCCTGCTCATCTGCCTTTAAGGCAATGATTAGGTCCTCAGATCTGACCACACAACAATGCAGTTCTTTCAAGTCAATCACTGACAAAGCAGTTTACAGAGCCATCAGTCTAGAAGTCTAAGTAGAGATAAAGACTACTCAAGGAAAAGACTAGACTTGCTAGGCTAGCTTGATATACTTTCTTTCTTCTTTTCTTTTTTGGTTTTTGAGGCAGGGTCTCATTATGTAGTTCAGGCTGGCCTTGAACTCACAGTGATCCTCCCACCTCAGCCTCCCCAGTGCTGGGATTACAGGTATGCACCAATATGCCCAGCTTGATATACTTGAAGTCTCAGTGAAGACTTAAGCACAAAGAAAACAGATTTCAGAGTCCTAGCATCTAGGCCAGGGGTTCATAACCAGCAGTAGGCCTCTGATGAACTTTAATACAGTATTACACAACTACCAAATGCTACCCGCAGAGATTTTGATTCCATACTTCTAGGATGGAACCCAGGAATATATGCTTTTTAAATGTTGCCTGGATATTCTAATGCCTCACTGCCTGCCCCTTAATCACTCTCCCAATTCCATAGCCATTAAGCTAGAACTAATAACCACAAATGCTTTCAAAATGGATATGTTTCTCCCTACCAAATAGGTAGATCAAAGAGTTTCAATACTACTATCTGGGCTCAAACACTAAGCAAAAGCTGAAATTAGATTACTGCCTTTCTCCTCCACAGAATCCACCCACACAAACTCTTTGTAAAGCCATATATTAAAAGGCTTAAAGCACTGCCATATAATCAAACAGGAAAAAAAAAGGGGAGAAGAATTAGATTTGCAATCATAAAAACAAACCAGAAGAAAGTCACCCACTGTTTTCAGAAGGGATAATACAAAACCCAGATTAGCCTAACAGCTATTAAGGAAGAGGAAGATTTCAAAACCTTCTTCACTTAACTGTTTCAAAATCTAACAACCCCCCAGAACAGGCGATCCTTTTGTATCCCTAAGTTAAATCTTGCCTGCTCAGCTTCAGCCCATTTCTGTACTTTGTTAAAACAGATAAACAACCCAGCTCACTCCACATAAAAGTCTTTCAGAAACTTTAGCAAAAAAGGGGGCGGGTTCGCTATCAAGAGCATACATTTTCTTCTTAAAGAAAGAACTGCCTTTTGTAAGAATCTTTTTATGTCTTATACTCTGAGTAACTACTTTAAAAATAATGATATACAATGTAACAACTGTTGTTATTTTATTATGTGATTATGAAATTTAGGGTTTCTTTCATAAAATAATTTTTTAAAAAAAGAAAACAGCCTCAACCAAGATGAGAGGCAGGAACTGACATTTGAACTTGAAGGGCATTTATAAGCGATAACTTTGAGTTACACTTCTTTAAGACTCAGCAGATCTGGAATAAAACCTCCTATCACTCTTTTCTAATTACTCCCCTGCAGATTCCCCTCCCTTGGAAAAAGCTTAATAAAAATAGCTGCTCTCATCAACTCTCCCTGTAGTAATTTAAATCTCTACCGCTACTGGCTCTCTCCCTTCAGCTTTTAACCATACATTTAACTAGCTCTCTCCTGAGTCAAAAAGTCTTCAATGAGCAGTCCAAGGTGCATTCACTTCCCTTCTCCTTTAAATACTCTGCTTCTAAAAAGGCTGTATCTCTACTTCTTTTTCCTTTTTTGAGACAGGCTCTCGCTATGTAGTTCAGGTTGGCCTTGGACTCACTGTGTAGTCCAGGCCAGCCTTGTACCGGAGGAAATCCTTCTGCCTCAGCCTCCCCAAGTGCTGGGATTAAAGGTATAATCCAGCTACTTCTTTTTCATCATGTTATTCCTACTTTTGATTTCTCTTCCAAAAAGGTCACAAACTCCTAATCATTTCTTACTCTTCTGGACTTCCAAGTTTACTCCCACTATATCAGACACCTTTAAATCATTCTATTTCACTTACCCCTTTAATATTTACTGCATACGTCATGCTGTCCTTTATATCACATTGTGAAATAAAAAATATGAATCCTCCCCTTAGGAAATGAAGATATACATGAAAGAACAGTTATGTATTAGTTTCAAAGTAGTAATGCTAGTCCAAGAAGGCTCTGTGACCAAAAATCATGGCGTGGATCTAGTAGTAAGTGTAGAATTTTGATAAAAAGGAAGAGGAAGTCAACCTTAGAATAGTGTGATTCCAGGCAGGAGCAATCTGAGGTAAGAGCTGCATAAAGGTCCTCTAACACTTCCTTCTTTACCCCCTTCCCCAGCCAAGGCACGTCTTTTTGTCTTCAAATTTTATTTCAGAATTGGCTAGCCGTGAAGCATGAGTTTCTATTATCGTGATTACCCACAGCCCCATATATTAAAGCAATTCATGGAGCCTAATAGACCAGGACCCATATTGGTTATCACAAGGCAGGCTTTTAGAATAATCTTAAGTAGACAGCCTTCACTACTAAGGAGTCTGGGAAGTTAGGCATCTCTAGGGCCCAAGGTCCACAAAGAAAGCTATCCCTGTTGGGTGTTAAAGATAAGCACTATTGCTCTGTCACACCATTCAAGGGTCATCCAACTCCTGCTAAATATTTTGTTCAAACATAGCTTTAGAACAGACAAAGCCTTTTAAAGCAGCGCGAAGGACTGACACCCTGTGTGAAACAGGGATGTTTAATGGTGCTACCAAAGATGCCCCCCTTTGCACTGTTTTCCTAGAGCTCTCTCCTCTTATCCCAGGACTCACAGCTCACACATCCCTTCCTCTGTGAAGTCTTTCCTATTCCCCTAAACTGAGGCCTCTTCCCTGCGCGTCCGTTAATAACTTAATGCATAACTTTTTATACTTGTAGAACAGCACTTATCACACCATGGTGTAATTATTTGTTTACATGTCTGCCTAGCCACAGGCTCTTTGATGGCAAGAATGTTTTATTCATCACTGATTCCACACTTAATAGGCACTCAATAAACACTTGTTGAATATATTAATGAAGTTAATGGGAAGTTTTAAAGAATGGAGATGGCACACCAAAATTACAGTAAATATTCACAATGAAGACTAAACTCCATCACATATTTTTATTATGTATACCATTCATGGCCAGAAAAAAGCCCAGAGATGTGAGATTGTTTTAACAGTGCTGGGCACTGACAAATTACCAGCAAAGAATATGAACATCTGCAGTACTAAGAATAAGTAAAAATTATCGTATCTATGATATTTTCTAATTTGGGGCTCATTCTCCTGCTTTTAGCATAGGTACAGTTAGTAATAAGAATCCCTTAAAAGCCAGGCATGATGGTGCACACCTGCAGTCCCAATACTCTGGAGGCTGAGGCAAGAGGATCACTTGAGGCCAGGAGTTAAAGAACCGCCTAGACAATGCAGTGGGCCTCATATTTAAAAAAAAAAAAAAAAAGTTCTAAGGTTCTAAAAAAGAGCACTATCTCTACCACCATGGAACCTTCTAGCAAATTTTGATTCAATACAATTCCCGCTGAAATATACAGGAAAGCTGTTCACCTTCTTTTTTTTTTTTTTTGGTTTTGTTTTTGGTTTTTTTTTTCCCCCGTACTGGGAATCGAACTCACAACCTTGCGCTTGCCGGGCAGGTGCTGTGCCGCTGAGTTAAATCCCCAGCCCCACTGTTCACCTTCTTAATAAATCCAGTTAAGATTCTGTTATGGGACAGAGATCTGAATTAAGTCCTCCCAGAACCCTGTCACAATGTACATTAGCACTCTAAATCATTCCTCACTACGGTTACTCATCTCTAAAGAGTCCCAGGCAAGGCAATAAAATGGTGCTGTCTCAAGTGACGCTCCCTTAGCATTCCTGTACCACACAAAGCCACTGTGTTTACAGACTACTATTAAAACACAAAATTTCATCTGATCCTATGGGAACAAAGCCCTGCATTCCCTCAAGGGATTAAATAAATTTAGTCCACTACTATATTTCCAAAGTTGTGGGGCCCAACAAAGTTGCATAAAGCATAAGGTCCAAAACCCAGCCAGGTAAAGGAATGAGAAAGGATTCTTGTGCCTGAGAGGAGCATCTGCTGCTGCGAAGGATGTAGCTCTTGACATACAGTGAATGGGATAGGGGCTGTTCAAGGGCAACCCAGGAGAACTGCTTTCCTGGCACACATGGGTCCTTGCATGTTATCATTCCTAAGAAGTCAAGAAGCTCCAGTTAAACTAATTTAGGTTTCCTAAAGAAACAAATCCGTTTTGACTCCAGGCAAGAACAATTAGCTGGCCAATATCTCAGACAGGGCTCTTCGGCATATTTCTTTCTGCTTCTACAGTCTTACATAACTCCAGCTGTTATTTTAACAACTGGATCCACATTAGTCACAGCTTAGTCCTTCACAGGTATTTGGTCTCATTATCTTCTTCCAAGAAGAGAAACTGAGTCATCACATATCAACTGGCTTCCTCAAGCACACTCTTGGTTTGTAGTGAGGTCACAGTTGAACTCGGGCTGCCTTCCCCCATTCACCTTCCGCGTGAACCTCGGCAACCCTGCTGCTCTTTTTCTCTCAACCTAAAAACAAGCCACTGCCTCCTCGAGGAGAGATAAGCATATTTGATCTTTTACAGCCAAGAGCTCTCTTCTTTCCCGAGAAAGAGGAAGGTGAAAGAGTAACACGAAGCAGAAAAGGATAGGGATGGAATGAGGTGGCGCTAACACTAGGACTCACCTTGGAGCTGAGGTCCTCTCGCCGGTTTCCTGCCTTACTCCTGCGTAGTTTGATGGATGGGGATCGCAGCAGGTTCTTAATCCGGCTGGTAATGGTTGATCCTTCCACAGCCATCACGATAAGCAGCCCCTTGGGACAGTCCTTTAAGCGGTCTTGGGTTCAAGAATGGCACTTCCTTCCCACTCCACAGGGCCTTCCAATCCACCCTTTCACTGGCCTGCGATGGCAGAGGCCACCTTAGCATCACAGTAGGTGTTTCGTACCTATCTGAGTCTGCAGCTTTGACCTCTAGGTATTGCTCTCTCTTTCTCCCTCATCCTTTCAAGTCTTGAGAGTTTTCTTACAATGTGGGAAGGCCAGATCAGTGAAAAAGGTGGAGAGAATCCTGAGCCATAGGGAAAAATTCTGAGCCGCAAAGAAATGCCAGGCCCACGCCTCTAAGAGGCGTTTAACTAGAGATGGGATGGGCTGTAGTAGGGGTGGTGGCCAGTCTGGTCCCCGTTAACGCTCAACTGTTTCCATGGCAACTGCGGTGTCCCAGGGACGAGGCTTCGGAGGCCACCTGAGAAGGTCCCAGGGGGACCGCGGGGATTCGGTGCGGCGGCTCGCTACGGCCCAGCAGCCTGTTCTACCACGGGAGCCTCCCTCCCCCACCCCCGACCCTCAGAAGCTCGCTCTCTGCCCTCCACACCTGCCTGGATCTTTCTCTTCCACCCGCCCAGAAGCCCCTGCTACTCGTCAGCGCCCCCGCTCGGGCCCAGCCTCACCAGCCCCGGGGCACGAGGGCTGCCTGGCTCACAGCGCCCTCAGGCATAGCGCTGGGCGATTTCAGCTCCGCCGCGGCAGCACCGACAGCAGCCGCTGCAGCTATGGTGGCACGAGCGGCTCAAAACGCGAACTAGAGCCTGGGCCAAGCTACGGGCTGGATAGGCGGAGCCGACGCGAGGGGGTGCGGTCTGCAGCCAGGAGGTCGTTTCCCGAGTGGACAAGCGAAGCCTACGGAGGCGGAGCCAACGCATGGGCCTAGGAAGCTGAAGATTTAGATTCCAGAACTACGGGTTGGGCACGGTATAATTGTGGGTACCGCTCTTAGAAGAAGGTCAAGAGAAGACAGCTTCAAATTGAGAGAACCAGACCTTTTATGGTATTTTCAGGCCTGGTCCCCCGAAGAACCGCACTTCCCAGAACCCCAAAATGATAGCCACGCCTCCAGAATTAAGGTTGGCATTTGATAGTCCCGAGGGACGGTAGTTGAAACTAACTCCTAGCGCAGAAGTACAAGGTTGAGATACTACCAAAGCTCTGCTCCGATCCACCCCAAGCGCTGGAATTTAAAGCGTTTGGGTTTGGAGGAGTTTCTGATCCCCACCGGCCTAGCACTGACCCAGGTGGAAAGGTTTCTTTAGCGTAACCCAATTCAAATGCTAAACAACGGTCTTTTGAGTTGGGTAATCTATCTGGTTTTGATGGAAGAAAGGGGAGACCGAATCCCGGACTGCAGCTTTAGAGAGCGGGAAGGGAAACGCGCCTAAGGGTTATACTATATGTTTCATGGTTTCTTCAGCCTCCAAAGTCCTAGAACGCGCTAAATTCACTAGGACTTTGTTACTAACGACCTTTCCTCGGTCTTGTGAATTGTTACTTGTGAATACTTTTCCCTTATGGCTGATACTTTCCGAGGTCACTGGAAAGCTTGCTGGGACTAGATTCGGTGATAGTTTTTCTAGCTTGCAGGGGCGGGGGAATATGTGGAAAATACAGTATTATATATTTCACACATACGTAAACAGCTCCAGGATTTTTTCACCTGGAGAATACTTAAAGATATTACATTATGAAAAGGTTCGCCTAAGTCAAAAGACTTGGCCTTCAGAAGAACAGTATATATATACTGTTGCTGTCTCACCGTATCCACACCTTTGTGATCCCTGAGATGATACGTCCAGAAGAGACAAGAGCCAACAAATGACTGTGGGTAGACTGTGCACAGCCCAATGACAAAAGAGCATCGTGTGTACTACAATTATGTATTAAAAACAAGACTAATAAAGCTCACAGTTTGACATGGACATCAAGGATGCCACATCCTGGAACACCAGGGGACAGTAATTACCAAAGGCATAAAAGGCTTCCTTAACCTCAACCATGCATTGCCGATCTGATGAAATTAAAATTGGATTTTCAAATTCCCCAAATATGGAAGGACATAAGGGCCATTAGCCATAATCCTAGAAGCAGATGACTAACTCCTTTAACCTTTTGTGTGATTTGACTCTTCACAGAAACCAACACTGCTATAAATGGTGCCACCTGGTGTCCTTGTGCAGGTCATTTCTGTGTCAACTGTTTTCTTACCTAACCACTCTTGGCCAGGTTTACTGTGTCATTGGTCATTTCTTGTGCAAAGCTAATGTTCCCCAAATTAGTCTTCTCTGAAGCTAAAGCTACACTGGCAAATCTAAATAAACTCCTGCTTTCCTTGTCTGCAATGAAGAACTTGAGAATGGTATAATGAAATTTCAATCTGGAATCTGGGTATTTCCAGCCCAAGGCCAAAAAGACACATTTTAAATTCTTCCCAATCTAGGCCAGTCTTGTCTAGGTACCACACTGCCTTTGAGATTGCCAATGTGAGAATAGGGCCAGTGATGGAGACTCTTTTTTTTTTTTTTGTCTTTTTCAGACAGGGTCTTGCTCTGCAGTTCAGGCTGGCCTTGAGCTCACTCTGTAGCCTAGGCTAGTCTCGAACTCACAACGATCCTCCTGCCTCAGCCTCCCGAGTGCTGGGATTACAGGCGTGCGCCATCACGCCCGGCCAATGGAGACTCTTTTAGAGCTTTCAATGACACAAACTGCCTGCTGTGGCACACATGCCACACTCTATAGACTGTTTCACACGCTGTGAATTCCTCAGAAAACAAGTCTAGGTCCACTGCAAAGTGTTACTCTCTTTGCTCCAATACTTGCTACCCGACTCTTATGTGTTGCATCTCCATACACTATGTTTTAGTCTGCTTATGTCTTAAACATGTATACATGGTTTACCAGATTTTGAAACAACTGTCAGTAACAGGTATTACACATTTGTCTTATTTAGCATTATGCTTATTAGATTTTTTTTTTTTCAATACTAGGGATCAAACGTAAGGGCCCTCATCACTGAGCTACATTCCCAGCCCTTTTTATCTTTTAAAATTTTCAGATAGCATCTCAATAAGGTCAAACTTCCAATCTTCCTGCCTCAGTCTCCTGAAATTACAGGCACTGTAGGCCTGTGCCACAGCACCCAGTTTGGATCAAATTTCTTAAATAGCCTTAGGCAAATAAGGGGCAGTTACAAGAACCTAGAAAACTAATAGGCCAGATTAAATGTTTGCTCATCAATTCAAGTATTTATTGAGCACCTTTACATGCAAGGCACTGTAATTCAGCTGAGCCAATGACTGCAGTTGGAAACAAGATAAATCTCAAGGCAAAGCTTCCAAGACTGCTTTCCTAGTTAACAAAAGTTTCTGCTACTAGCAGGATTTTACAATGATAGAACTTAATTTTGTCTCAAAACTTCCAACTCATCTTCCAATACTTAGCCCCCTCATGTTCTCCACACACAGTTCCATCACTATTAACACTTTCGTGCCTTGTACGGCAGTTCCATCCTATTTAACACACTAGTTATATCTTAGTTTAAAAGTTGTATATATCCAATTATTTTCCTTTACTCCAAATATACATTTTAACTGGTTTTCAACTGACCATAGGTCTGATTGCCTCATTTTTTTATGAATTCATGTCCATATGAAATTTAATACCACAGTACAATGGTATGAGAGTCTTGATACCCTTATAGGACTATTCAAAACTAATTCTGCACAGGAAATGTATCAATTCTTGGTTATTAGTCATTCTCCATAAAAAATGTGATGATGTGCTACTGTGTGACTTTAATTCTGAGAGAAACAAAGAGATCACTTTTCTAGATACTTCTTCAAAGTATGTTTACCTCTCAATTCACCTCAGCCCATTCTAAGTATATGTCAACCAGTTATAGCCATAATGAACTATACACTACCATACCACAGCAAAAATAATATATAGGTTGTCTGCCTTTGTCTTGTGTTCAAAATATTTTCAAATCTATTACAGAAAAGGCCTTACACCAGGCATTTCATCCATAAATCTGGAAAAAAAAAAAACCCAACACACTGCATTTGCTATAAAATTATACAAATGAACAGCATGTGTGAAGCTTATATAACTGAACTTGATTTGTTAGCGACCTTAGATTAGCAGTACTTCAATGTCAAAAGGACTCCTTTAGTAAAACTGTGTAAATTATGTACAAAACTATGTAAATTATGAAAGCAGTTAACCTCTTGCCTTAAGAACACCTATTTTCTTAGCCACTAAGATTGTGTTTATGTCCTATTATTCCCTAAGATAGCAGATAAATTGCCTTGCACACAGTGGTACCATGAAGCTAACTTTCACTGTAGAGTGACTTCTAAAACAAATACATGTCAAGTGGTACACAATTTTGAAGCCTCTCTGGTAAGACATTCCACAAGGACTAGAAGACTAAAAACCTCCCCAAAATGGCATGTCAGATACTTTGAGAATGGGAATGAATTCCTATGATAAAATTTCAAAAGCACCCTCTCTCAAGTGTGTCTCAGGGCATTAACAATTCTCTACTCCAACTTTGCAAAAATCTTCCAACAGCAAGTCCTGCTTCAATTAGTACACCTGATTTATTTCAATCACCAAACAACTTCTGTTCTTGTTTCTAAAAAAATAGTCACTTTCAAAAGCAGAAAAGGAAAGATATATATTTAATATATAAAAGAAAATGCTAAATCTGACATAATTATATTCTTAAAAACATTCCATTTATTTACAGATGTATAAAAAGGTGAATTATTGGTCTACTGAGATCATGCGTCTTTATAGAGTTAGGGTGAGTGCTGTCTTCCAGGTTTCTCAACTCTTCTTACTCAACTTCATCTTTCATTATCACACATGTAATTTTCATAGATCAGTTTCTTCTGGAGCAAGGTTAAAGGGTAGGAGTTTTTAGAGAGTCTAGATTTCTGTCAAGATTGCAGGATTGTTCTGAAGACTGAACCCTCCTCAAATTAGCCCTGATGACTCCTAGATCTGTCTTGAAAAACTTGGGGTGTAGATCTGTCTTGAAAAACTTATAAGTTGGGGTGTGTGTGGGGGGGGATGACATCTGCAGCCTTCCATGAACACCTGGAATACCTCATTTCCATCTCTGTACATCTTTATAAAGCATACCCAAGTGTTCAAGAAATGACCTGGAACTGTTTTCTTCTTAAAAAAGGGAAAGTGTTCAAAAGTGAGAATGGTCCTTCTTTTCCTGAGGATTATTCACTCCCTTGCCTGTTCCTTGGCCAATCCTCAAAAACCACAAGAGCCTTGGGAAGTCAGGGGGAAAGCAGAGAAGAGACAAGCAATAAAACAATGGGAAACTACTATACCTAGATTAAAGAACTGGCATCTCCAATGACTATGAGTAAGGGAGACAGGCGCTAAACTCCTTGGCTAAGGCATTGATAAAATCTGCTGGGTAAGGAGAAGAGACAAGGAGAAGTTGAGGAGCACTCTTTGAACTACTTCAAGCTTCCTCAGTAGAGAGGAAAGGTTAAGTGCCAATGAGCAGGACTAGAAAGGCAAGTAGCACAAAACCAACAAAGAATTTGCTCTCTCTGCATTTTGAGGAAGGATTCCTATTCTTTGAGACCAGGTGATGGCCAGAGTTCATGGAAAGGGAATCAGTCGTGGAAGTAGTAACTCACTGGCTAGATCCATTCCAAAGCTGGTCTCACAACCATGAAGATATGCTGAGTGGGACTTGGTTAAGGAAGGAGGGTACAGAAGAAACAGCATGACCTAGGCACAGCCCAGGCAGTGGAAGCTCTTGTGTTAGTGTTTTACAACACAAGCAAATCCTGTCAGTGTAGACAGAACAGGGGTTACATTCCAAAATATAATTATTTAAGAAAGGCAAAATGCAGCAGCTAAATCCCAGTCTATACATTTTCAGAATAGTGATTCTTGCCCCCAGGAGTTTCCAAGAGACCCCTCAAGTGCACCATGATTATTTACAAACTAGATAGGAAACTTTTCTATACTCAATACAAATCTCATCTTCTAGGTTGAAAACTTCAGCCTTTGAGAAATCTATGAAAACAACTATACAAAAATATAAATATCTTTATCTTTACAGGCTGTCAGTCCTTCATATCCTGACAGTCAATGAGTGAAAAAGCTCTACAGATCATTGAATCCATGATAGTAGATAAAAAATATATCTCATGATTCAAATACTGCCTTATTTCCCTGGTAGAGTGCCTACTATAACTTTTCTTTACAACCTGTGCAGGTAACAGTGAATGAAACCTTCAAGCACCGGGAGGCTGGTTTGATTTGGGAAACATCCAGCCCCACAATTTTTTATTTTGGCCACTGTCTCTGGTCTCAGGGAGGAGAATGCTTTTCATTTTAGTTATCTTGAGTAATGTGATTTGTGAAGGGGAAAGGGTCCCCTCCTTACCTACCTCCAAAGTATATATCACTGATAAGACATCCCTGGCAATAGGAAATTATCTTTCAACACCCACAAAGACAGTAAGGGAGAACTATGGTTTTTAGCATCTCAAAATAATCACCTTAATGATAATAAAGTTAAAAGATCCCTACTTCACCAAAAGGCTTGCATTTGGAATTCTGATTGAAAAGCTAAGGAAACAGAAGCTACTCAGGATATAAAAGAAGATAAAATTTTGCCAAATGACATAAAATCCTTCACTTTGGTATTTCACGGTACACATCCTGTATCTCAATCACTGAAATAACAACTTAAAATGATCTCTTCTGGATCCCTTTGCACAAATGCATCACATTCCTTAGATTTTAGATTTAACCAAACAGCTCTCAGCTATAGTTCAGTCCAAAGCAATTCCAAAGTCTAGCGCAGTTTTTTCTCTTGGGGAGTTGGGGCGGGGGATAGGTACCACTATGGAGCCAGAGTCTTGAATAAATTCCTTGGGTAAGGGGCACCTCGTGTTCAGTAATGGATCACATCTTCTTAGAGAGGATTTGAGGTCCCAGCACCACAAGTGAGGTAACGCATTTTAACATGATCAGAATTTCATATTATTTCTTATACCAGGGTTAGCACCCTACCCACTTTCTCTGTCATCTACTGCACCATCAAAGTCAAGGATCACAGTTCCATGACACAAACAAACGCCTGCAGAGAAAGGAGGTGAGGTTCAACTTCCCCTCACAGCCTGGTTTTCATCTAAGGAAAAACAAGTTCATTTCCCTGAAGAACGTGGTGAGACCCCAGAGTTGCCTAATTTAGCCATAATAGGTGCTAATGTAGGCATCACCTTGCTCTCCCGGCCTTCCTGGTCACTCCCAGTTAAGTTCATTTTATGTCCAACTGACCCAATTTTAGCAGCTACAGGTGCCAAACAAGGCATCACCTTGAGAGTCTGACCATCTGCATCGCTAGGAGGATTAGCTACTTTTAAACCTAAAGGTGCTAACTTTGGCATAGGCCTCCACAAAGTATCTGTGTTGCTATTCTCCAGTCCAGTCTTCATGTGTAGGATGGGAGGTGAGGACACACTTTCAGGTTCTGCAGGGAGACCAGAAGTACTCTTCCCTCCATCACTACATTTCCTGTGAGAAACAAATGAATCCTTTATCTCAGAGTCAATGACAATCTTAAGAACATCTGGCTCAGAGGCTGTCTCAACAAGTTGTTTTTCATTCTCAGAAAAGTCATCATCTTCCAAATGCAAAAGGAGGGGGCTGATGGAGTCACTCTCCCCTTGGTCATCAGGCATCTCTTTCAAATCTGTTCCCAAGTGGTCAACCTGGAAAGGTGCTCTGTTTCTAGGAGGAAGCTTACTGATAAAAGCCCGCTGAGGATCTCCTGGGAACTCTGTATCCATAGAGGTGGGTAGTTCTTCAGCAAGACTGACAGAGTCATCATTCAGCTGCTGATTAAGAAAGGCAATCTCATTGAGCAGTGAAGTGAGTGTCTCATCAGTATCATCATCATCTTCCATGTTAGTCAGTAGTTCGCTGGGATCAAGAGCTGCTTCCTCTATAGCTGATGCTACTTTCCTCAGTTCCATCTCTATGCTTGAGTCCTTGAGATCTTTCATCTTTAGTTTATGAAATGGAGATTCCTTTGATTTCAGTCTCTCTCCTCTTGATTCACCCTCCTTCCACTTATAGCGATTCCCTCTTACATCGCCTGAAATCTTTTTAGGTAAAAACTCTTGCGTTTCCCGCATACTGGGAGCATCAATTATTTGTGAAAAACCAGAATCTTTATTTGCCAGAAAAACTTGTGTTGGACCTAATGCCATTCTGCCATCTCTGTGATTTCCTCTAGAAGAGACTCTATCAGAATCCTCTGAATTATCTTCATTCCTGACAGTATCTTTCAGGTGGTCAGATGGCCTGGCATCAGGAACGTCATGAGGATATTTGCTGCCACCCATATCTACCAAACTTCCCTCTGCAGCCAAGGATGTCACATTAACAATTCGTGGCATCATAAATAAGTCATCATTTTCTGAAAAATAAAATTAAAAAAGAAAAATTCATTTAGATATACACCAGACATGACTATCCCCCTCCCCACACCAAATACACCAAAGGACCATCTTGAGATAGTAATAAAAATTCACTGATCTATTTTTGTCAAAAAGATGAAAGGAACAGTCAAATAAAACCCAACCAAAGACTCTGATATTCCATCATCAATAAAAGTTCCACTTAGCTGGTGTAGTGGTGCATACCATTATACCCAGCTCTTTTTTTTCACCCGGGAGACTGAGGCGGGAGGATTATCATGAGTTCAAGGCCATCCTGGGCCACATAGTGAGTCTGAGGCCATCCTGGGTTACATGGTATTTTCAAGGCCAGCCTCGACCGCACAGTGAGACCCTGTCTCAGAAAAGTTCCATTTAATATGAATTTTATAAAACTGCTCCCCAAGCTAATTCTACTCCAAGGGCAGAAATGTGACTGATTCTTGTTCACCCAATTGTTACTCTAAGGAGAAAATAAAGCCCTAGAGGTCGCATGGTAAGGGAAACAGAATAGTTGTCCAGATTGGACCGGGCAGCAGAAACAAGAACTGTTGTTGGCAGTGTCAATGAAGTAACTAGGACTTTAATGTTAGTAAGGATATTTTGTTACCTTAACAAAAATTTAGATGTCTAAGATTTAAATTATAAAATGAGACTTCCCTTTCAACTTTCCCTTTTAACTCCAGAAAGAGTGGTGCTCAAACTGAATCATGCTCATAAAGGAGAAATACACAACTTCTGAGTGTAATACAAAATTGATTAAATATTTGTCAACACCAAGAACTAACACAATAACCCCTCCACATCTTTTCACTTTGGAATCTTTATTTTTCTACTTAAAAATAACCAAAAAAGTTCTCAATCCCAAATAAAACACACCAACTTCATAGCACAGATCAGGCCAGATTCATTCTAAAAACACAATTACTGAAGCAAATGTCAACAGGAACAGGTACCTTTTAATCATTATTGAACACAAAGAGTGTTCTCTGTCACTGAGATACCAGGAATAACTTTCTTCACTACCCACAGAAGACAACATGACATACCTGATTGAGCCATACCACTGCTGACAACTTGAGGCTTCAGATCAGTTTCTAAGAGAGTGGGAGACACAGTTACCACTGGTCCTGAGAGCAGGGGACCTTTTAAGGTAAGTAATTGCCCTTGTGGAGTCATCACGAGGTTGGCAGAGGTGTGTGGAGTACTGGAAGGAGAGGTGTTTTCTACAAAGAAGATAAAAAGAATTACAGATAAAAGACTACACTTTCACTTAAAGACAAGAAATGTATGTCAAATTTAGAGAAACAAAATGTAGATTTTACTTTCTTGAAACACATTTAACTGAGTAATGGTTACCTGCCCAATGATTTTCCTAAGAGAGCAAATTTGTTGAAGAACACAGCTGCGAAAATATTTTTACAATGGGATAACATCTGATTATACATATATGGTCGTAATAGTGAAGCAGGATAAAGGATAATACAATTCTATTCCTAGGCTCCCTTTCCCATACACCTCTAACAAACTTTGTAGGCTTTAGTTTTGGTGGTCATTAAATTTCTTTCTAGCTGGGTGTGGTGGCACACACCTCTAATCCCAGCATTCGGGAGGCTGAGACAGGAGAATTGCTGAGTTTGAGGTCAGCCTATGCTACATAGTGAGTTCAAGGCCCGCCTGAACTACATAGCAAGACCCTATCTCAAAACAAAACAAAAAAACTAATTCAATGTTCTTTTTTAGAAGGTTTAGTATCCATGTGGTTTGATATAATAAACCAGATTTTCTTGTTCATATACTAGGAGTAAATAAGGATGCAAGTAATGTACATGTATCTATCGCTTTATTTCCAAAGTCAAGACAGAAGACCTTAAAGCCAATTTTCTTTGTTCCTTAACAGATCTGATGAGAAACAGAGCCTGATTCAAGGAAACTAAATTTTTCCTTTTTCTTTTTGGAACTGTCCTGCCATGGTCTATGTTGCAGGGCAGTTCCAAACTCTTAGGCTCAAGTGATCCTGCCTCAGCCTTCCATGTACCTGGGATTAAAGGCAATCACCATGGAAAACTCATAGTAAAAAAAATTTTCTTGAGACAGGGTCTCACTATATAGCTCAGGCCCGCCTTGGAACTCACTGAGATCCTCCTGCCTCAGCCTCCCAAGTGCTGGGATTACAGGCATGTGCCACCACACCAGGCTAAAATGAAAAATTTTCAATCTCAACCTATCAGAATTACAGGAAAATCACAATGTCATGTATAAAATCTGAAAAAATGGTAGCTCATAAACTTACTAAAAATATATCACTGTAGATGGCTACTAGAAGTAGGGCTTAATGTTAAATTACAATGACTAAGCTGGGCTGGGGATTTAGCTCAGCGGCAAAAGCGCCTGCCTGGCAAG